CACCTTAAAGCTGCATGTGAAAATCCTTCAATTATCTCCAGAGCCGCAATTTTCTAATGTCTATTCATAGCAAAGTCAGTGCTCTTCATAACAGGGTAAGAGATTATGAATCACTCTTGAATGCATCTTGCCTTGTTTTTGTAATGAACTAAGGTACTTTATTTTAGCCACCATTTGAATCAGTGTGCTTGCAATTGACAGAAATAAAGCAATGAGACCAGGAACTATCTAAAGGTATAGTTACCTTGCTTTTACTGACCTCTTAACTACATTCTTAGAAAATAAGGCCTTGATATTACCAATGCTGCACCAGACCCTATTCAATTCAGTGGATTCAATGGAAGCACAGGAGTCCATCTGTGCAGAGCTCATTGCAGTAACAACACCAAGTATGTTAAGCTTGATCCTATAATCAAGTTTAATTAGAATCACTGGGACTTAGCATAGGTGTAAAGATCTATCATGTTGATCCACTTGTAGGATCATAGCCTTAATGTAAAGACATAAAGCATTTTGTTATTACTTCAAATAATCCAAGTTGATCTCCTTTAAAGACATGAGGTCTGATCTTACAGCTGGTTCTGCACAGGTAGGGCCCTTCCTCTCCACGGAGTTCCACTGACATTAACTGGCATAAAGCAGATTTTCCCTTGCAAAAGAAGGAGGGAAAAGAATAGGAGGCAGTAACAGGAATGAACCTCCTCCCCCTGGAGCACTCTTTTCTCACTGACTGCAAGTCTTCCCAGGGTCCAGAATTAACAAAACAGAGAGTAAGATAAGGTTTGTTGCACTCCACTCCTCACAGCATCTGCTTACTTGGCTGGGTGATATGTCTACATCTAGCCCTGGGTAATAGTATGTAAATACAGAAGACAAATTTATCTAGAAAGTGTGCACAATTGCTAGCAGGGTCATGATTACATCACAGTAATCCCCTCAAAAATTGTAAGATTAACAGTGTAATTAAAAGAGTAATAAAGGGATTGTTTAAAAATATGCAAAATTTGCAAGTACAAGAGCTAAATAAACTTACATAGCTATTTTAGTTTTCTGTTTATGACACGTGATCACCTCATCCTCCTCACTATCAGTGGTACATCAGCAAGACTCTCAGAGCTCTCATGTTCTCTCTCAAGACTCTTTTCTTACATGGAATTCTCTTCAAGAAATCTAAGTGAAAGGTGGGTAATTAACTTCTAAGAAATACTATGGAAGTGAGTTTTCAAGAAAGGAAACAACATTCTCAAGCTAAACACATTAAATTATCTACACCTTTGATTTTTTTTTTTCTTCTCCTGTTCTGCATTTGCTTTAATAAACACCAGCAAGTTGCTGGTCTAAGAAAGATTATTATGACAATTTCTTTATCTCAAAGTTTAACCTGATCTAGACACAGTTCTTTCTAAATCTATTGCAAGATTCAGTATTGGAAGCTCTTTAAAGGAAAGGTTTCTCCTATTCCCACAATGATTTGAGAATAAAAATGAGAAGATGAAAAGTACTTCTTCATTAATATACTATGTTTTTCAACATCACCAAGCTGAAATAAACAAAGAAGGCAAAAATTTATACAATCTCCCATCTCATTTTTCCCATGCTTTATAGCTCCAGGATTTCATAAGGTTTTCAGAGGATCCAACCTAGAAAGAGAACTATGGGAATGCAAGAGTAACACTGCTATGTCTGGAAGTCAGGGAGAACAAATGTTTACATTATTATATCTGTTGTGTTGCTTGGAGTTTTTTAAACTGATGTTGGGACTACATTTCTTTTACCTGATTTTCTTCATTCCCAAGGAAAATAAAGAAAATGCTATCCTAAAGTAGACTTAACTGTGACTTTTAGCATTCCTACTTTGAGAGAGAGCAAGAGAAGGATTTCCTTTAACAGATATCAATATTACTTGCAAAATTAAATAATCTTTACCCTGAAAAGGTCACTATTTCCTAGAGCTTGCTCTGTGCCTAAAAAGGTGGTGGACTGGCCTAGTACTGCTCTGCCCCCACTACTCACCTACTAACACAGTGCATGTAGTATGGTATCTAATTTCTTCCTTCCCAAGTTTCATTAGCCCATACCCAAGCATGTCTCAACATTGTTGTCCCTCTAGAATACATTACTAATTTAAACAAGCAAGATTAACCAGAAGCTTAAATAAAAGCTTACTTTTTCCTAGTAGAGTCTTGCTGGTAGTAAGTATAATAATAATTAATACTATATGGTGTTCTTCACATGTCTTCAATTCTCTTTCTATATGCATCACAAAGTGAAGGCAAGCTCTTCCTTAGGTGATACATAAGACTAGTTAGACTTATTCTAAAAAACACCCTAGATTTTGTTTACAGTATCCTGGATACTTTTCTGAAGAGTTCTGTACTATGCTCAAGGGTTCACAAGATGTTCTTTGTACCAACTGAAATACTGGAAGTCTCAACTATTTACCGTTCCAGGTCTTTGGGACAAGACTTGTGTTATTATAACGCATCCTGAAGAAAAGAAATAATTAAAGGCGTTAGCCAATGGTACTGACATGTCTTTCAGATTGCTTTTCTAGCATGTTATTTGAGTATAGGGAATGAGCTAACAGAATAATGGCTGAAGAAATAGCATGCAGATATTTTAAGGCATGGGCTGAACTCAGGATTCCATATAATGCTAAATTCTTGGACTTACGTACTTAACTGCCTTCTATTTTGGGACTCACTTGGAATGTTCTCTCTTGTTCAACAATTCACTGTCACAGTACTTAAACATAGAGCTACAGTTGTCCAGCACTGCCTTGTGTTTTCCAGACTCTGGAAAAGAATAATTAAGTATCAGAGATCTAGCTAAGCTAATGTTGTTTTTTCAAACCAGCTCCCTTTTTGATTCCTGTACCACTACACTTCTATCAAAGAATCTATGACTTCGTCCTTCCAAGTTGTATAAAAAACATTGGGAACACAAAAAAGGTAACAGGTTCTATCTTGACAGGGTTAACAATATGTTTTAGGCTCCACTCAACCGGCAGGCTAGGCTAAGCATGAACTTAAGTTAACTGCCTGTTTCAGACAGAATCTCAAAGCCTCACTAACTTTGTTGACACCCACTCATATATCTATGAATATTCTTTGGGGCACAATCCGTGTTTCCCTCTGACCACATCTTGTAAATCTTGTAAAATACACACGCTTGGCTCCTTTGCAATGGGAGCAGGCTAGTAGGTGAGCTGCAGTAATGGACCACATACATGCTGACAAGTATATGAAGTCACTAACAGTCATCCAGTCAGTTCTGATTACTTCTATATATCCTTAAATACTTGTTCTCAAAAAAAGTTAAATTAATTTTAAATATAGGTTGGCATCATTCTATCATGCTCAGAATGAGAAATTATCGTCTGTCTTTGTTCCCCCACCTTCTTCTGCAATGTGCCCAAAGCTGCACCATTGCTCCACAAATAAAGCCAACTCATGCCTTTGGACACGTGACTGCTAAACTAAAACTACTTCATACAACTGACAGCAAAGCTGTGCTAGCACAAATTTTACTGGATAACATGAAACTTAGCTATGGGAAAAATTGAGCCATGAAGTCTGGTGAAGAATAACCCCCACAGAGCCTTTTTTACAACTGAATCATATGAATGATTTCTGAAATTCTCCTTCTTTATACATACATAAGGTATGAGCGGCTCTTGATGACATAAAGATGTTTACCTGATGCTCAGAAAGTGACCTACATGCCCTGCCAAATTAGAATTCTTTGAGTAGTTTAAAATTGCACAGTAGGAAAAAAAAAAAAACAACTCAAGAACCCAGACTGAATTTGAGTTTACGTTCATCACTGAAGGTGTATACTTCAAAAATTTTATCCAACGGCTCAGCCAGTTCCTGATACAATTTAACACAATTTAGCCTCCAATGTTTTATATTCCTTTGTGATATATAAGGCATTTTCCTTGCTGGTTGCTGTTATGTACCAATGCAACAGCAGACAGTAATTAAAATCTTGCATTAAAACTCTGTTAACCTCAGATTTATGAACTTTTGATATTCTTTGTAAAATATGGACTGTTATACAACTGGCAGGTAAAATTTTCCTCCTCTTTACTTTCCCCTTTTCCTCCCAGCCTGTAACTGGCCACACAGAACAGAAATGAAGTCATTGGCTTCAAGTGGACTAAGTCTATATGTAGATTTGTGTATGTGAAAGATTATGAATCATATCAACAGTTACTTCACTACAAATCAGTCAAAAAGTTTAATTTCTGTAAAGATGTGCATTGTTACTGTAAAATTATCTTAAAATTTCTTTTACGTAAGATTAACTGTCTGCATATGTTCATAAATTTCTTCTGTACTGCATGACAGTACATCAACAGTGGAAGTTTAAGAACACTTAAAACATTTCAAATTTGCTAGGAATAGTAGCGGTAACAATGTTTACTTCTTCCCTTCCCTTTTACCTCAAAAAAACCCCCAACTCTCAAAAATTTAACTTGCAGTTCTAGAGCAGACTACTATTGGCCTGTAGCCATACAGAGATGTACTACCATAAACAGAAGAAATGCTGACGCTTGGATGAAGATGAATCTATTAAAAACGCCCCATCTTATATGAGTTTGACTTGAGCTGCACAGATAAAAAAACAGTTTTAACTGCTTCCACGTGGTTTTTTGCATTAGTTCCAATTAACCCAATGTAACATCCAATATCAAGGTAGAATGAGAATGCATGTGCGTATGGACTAGCCAACTGAAAGTATGTTTATTAACAGGTGAAAAAACAAAAAAACACGACACAGGCAGGAAACAGAATAAATGCTAGTGGCACATGCTGCCCAGAGGGAAGAGAAACCGTTTCCTCCCAGACCCTCAAACTACCTTTGAAGCTCTCAGAAGCTCATTACTCTGCAGACTAACTGAACAGCGCCAACCCCCCCAGAACTCACCGAGCACCCCAAGTACACATGTTTAGCCCTTTAAACTAGCAAGAACGGTATTAACAGCCCCCACTCACCACAACCTCCTGGGCCACTGCTCCCGGTCCCCAGGACGGCAGGTGGCCGCCCGCTCTCCGGGTGCTTGAGACAAGCATGACCTCTCCTTCCTGAGCTAGCTGCTTTTGCTAAAAAACGGCCAGACGGTTCTACCTGCCTCCTAGGCCTGGCGGAGCAACCCCCAACACCAGGGACGTGCCACCCAGCGCCCTCCCCCCGCCACCACAGGAGGAAAGGACACGGCCCCAGCGCTGGAGCTTTGCGGAACGGGGAAGCGCCGCCAAGGGGAGCGCGGCGAGGCGGGAGGGAGGGAGGGGGCGAGGGGC